CCAGCGTGGTTACATTTGAAAAATATGGAATACCTTGAAAACACCTCTTTGTTTAATTTTGATCTGAAATTATGGGTTCAGTTAGCAAAAAATTGAAGGTACAGACTTTCCTGATATTAAGAATATCCAACTAAATCAATTTACACCAGTGGCAGCGCCGATTTTTTTTTTCTAAAAATTAATTCAATTTATTTAATTTTTTTGTTAAAAATTTGCCAAAAATGGTCCTACCATACTTAAAATGATCTGCTGATGCCAGAAAACTTAAAAAATACCGGGTGTCCTATTTGAAAATCAAAAGTTATGGCCACTTCCGGTTAAACCGGAAGTGACTGGTAACGTAATTTACTTTTAAAAAACTCAAAAAGTTGCCTTGTTTAAGCTCCCCAAATTTCAAATTTTCAACTTATTTATTAAAAAAGTTATAGGCTGTTCCCTATTCCTTGTGTCACCCTGTATGAGCAACAGAACAACTTTTCTTAATACTTTCCTATACCTATCTGTCGCCGCTTTTCAGGAATAGGTAATTAATTTAATTTTTTTTTAACGAAAACAGGACTAAATCTTAATATCTCCCTCCTATAAAAAAATTTTGGGCTGAAATTTGGATTATGCCAGAATAATGCTAATGAATAAACGCTAATAAATCCAAAAAAAAATGAAGAATTAGGTATGGGCAAAGTATACATAGTCTGAAAGCTAGTTTTATCAACATTTTAAATCCGTATTATTATACAGGGTGTTCCATTTAAAAAAAAAAACTGGCATTTTTGTGAGTTACCGACAAAAATTAATTTCGGGATCATCCTGTAGGTATACTTGAACTAAGATGTGAGCGAAAGATCAAATGCCTACAGGGATAACCCAAATTACAGCTCAAAATTATTTTATAGGAGGGACATATTAATTAATTAAAAATTGAAATTAATTTATTCCCGAAAAACGGCGACAGATAGGTATAGGAAGGTAATAAAAAAAGTTGCTCATAATTATATACCGAATTCGAAAATTTAAAAATATACAGGGTCTTTCATTGAAAATAACGATGTTGCCACCGGCTAAGAGTAGAAGCGGCAACACAGCATGGTCGAAAATAATTTTAAAGTGTGGATCATGGTCGTTTATCCAGGTTGCCAAATTTCTAAAATGATCCGCTTTTTAGTTCTCGCGTATGATTACACGTTGTTTTTTTTTTTAATTTATCCCTCCCGATCGCATCCCCTGCTATTTTCGCGGGGGTTGGTGCGCTAGCTTTTTAAAGTGGTGCGCTAGCCTGCGCTAGGTGTCCTTATTCTGCGCTAGCATTTTGAGAAAGAAAAATTAACTGGGGGGGGGCTAGCGTTAATCTGGCCCCCCCCGATCTCATCCCCTGCTATGACCACAGGGGTTGGTGCGCTAGCTCTTAAAAGTTGTGCGCTAGCCTGCGCTAGGTGTCCTTATTCTGCGCTAGCATTTTGACACAAAAATATTAACTGGGGGGGGCTAGCGTTAATCTGCCCCCCCCCCCCCCCCCCCCGATCGCAGCCTCTTCTATTTCCGCGGGGGTTGGTGCGCTAGCTTTTAAAAGTGGTGCGCTAGCCTGCGCTAGATATCCTCTATCTGCGCTAGCTTTTTGAGCAAAAAAAAACAACTGGGGGGGGCCAGCTTAACTGAGCCCCTGAAATACAAAACTCCAACTATATAAATTCTTTCCTTGTTATTGGGCTTAGAAATATTAATATCAAAATGAATATCTGCAGTCACTTTCAGGAAAATAGTTTCAGGCCTGGACAGAACTTCAAATTCACTCCTGTGACCACCGACATGAAAGAAGAGCAAATTTCTGACATACAATGAAATGCTTCGGGTCTGGATGGAGTCACTCTGAAGATGCTGAGACTTGTTTTACCACAGTGCAAGGCTGTCATATATAATTAACTTGACTTTAGAGACTGGAGACATTCCTCCTACTTGGAAACAGGCTGTAGTGATTCCCATTTCGAAGGTTTCAGTGGCGAGACAATACGAATATGTAAAACCTCCTATCAGCCTAATTTCAATCATCATGGAAATTCTGAAAAAAATTGTGTCATCACAGCTCACTGAATATTTTGAGTCGAACAAATTAACACCTTTGCTACAGTCAGGCTTTCGTGAGAGACATGACACTATGAGACCTCAAGTGCTTTGACAAAAATCGTGGATGATATATCCAGAGCAACTGATCAAGGTCAATTTACTTTTTTGGTCGCCCTGGATTTCGAAGGCCGGCCTCAAACAGCTGGAATGTCTTTTTGAATTCAGAAACAGAATTCAGAATCTGAATTCATAACGTACGGAATTGTATATATTTTTATTATACAGCACGCACATTCTGATATTTTCAGATCATGAATTTCTCATATCAATCTGCCAGAGTGCCTCTGACGAGCATTTTGAATTCCGGATCCGAAAAATTCAGATTAAAATTCATAACACATGTTTTTCCATTTGTCTCAAATATACAAGCACACACAGCCGGAATAAAAATTCTGATTCTTCCCTTTCAACCAACACCGCTCAAAAGATGCCGCAAATTACGAGAATACTGGTCACGGAATTATTAAGATGTGTGCGGCAATGTGCCGGAATTCAGATCCTGAGATCCTGAATTCTGTTCCTGAATTCAGAAACAAATTCCGGCTGTGTGAGGACGGCCAAACGCCTTCGACCTCGTGAATCACTCCCTCCTGGCTTCAAAGCTTAAGAACTATGGAATCCACAGGGCAGTACTTGACTGGTTTATGGACTATTTTAGCGACAGGTCTCAGATAGTCTCTTTAAATGGAGATAGTGTCCCAGGAGCTACCAGTAACTAGGGGCGAACCTTGTATTGTATTGTCTGCATATTATGTGTCTGTATGTGTATACCTCCAGAATCTGTCAAATAAATAGAAAAAAGTAAATGACCAAGTGGACTTCCCTGGGGCCTTATTCTGTAAGGAACGAACCGTTCGATTCGGTAGAATTTCTTCGATTGTGACGTCATTTTCGGTTTGGTTTTGGCGCTACCAAATCGAAAATGACGTCACAATCGAAGAAATTCTACCGAATCGAACGCTTCGTTTTTTACAGAATAAGGCCCCAGGGAAGTCCACTTGGTCATTTACTTTTTTCTATTTATTTGACAGATTCTGGAGTTATACACATACACACATACATAATATGTAGACGATACACAAGTGTATGTCTCTGGTGATCCTGAGAATCCCACTCGAACTGTGAATGTGCTTAATAAGACCTTGCAAAGAATTCATGAATGGTCAGAGAATAATGGTCTCTGCCTCAATGTGTATGAGAAGTAAAAGTGCTTGTGGAAAAGTGCTGTTTTGTTATATCCCTTTCTAAATAAGTTTAGCTTGCTCAAAATTGAAGTCACTGTATCAATTTAAGTACCGTCTCCCATCTGATACCAAATGGCAACTGGTAAATTCATTGGTGCTGTATCATTTGGATAACTGTTGGTCTGTTTACTATAGCTATTCGTCTTGTGAATATATTAATAAGATTAACGGCTACAAAATTCCTGTTTTAGATTTTTAGATTTCGCTTTGCTATATACACCATATTGTGATCATATCACGCCTTATTATAATGATTCTATAGGATATCAAAAATAAAATATAGGTTTGCACTATCTTTCTGTAAACAATTGTTTAACATTCTAACGTCGTAAGGCTCCTCAGTACCTGTTTGATATACCGACGAAAAGAAATGAGCTATACGCTACAAATTTGAGAAACGTTAATTTGAATTTGAATTGTTTCTATAGTTTATCGATAGTCAAATGAGACAGTAAAAAAAATATATATTCCTTTGGCTGTCGGCGTTTTCTTTATGAAGCACGGGCGGAGTAATAGAAATTTATTAAAACAGTTTTATATAAAATAAAACATGAGGCACGATACAACTCTGATAGAAATCAAATTTATAAAAACTATCTACTGTACTGTCTTTCCAGACGAAACTGATTCGCAAGCGGCAGCCGCTACAAAGAAATATGCCGCCAAAGACGCCGCCGCTTCAAAGAAAGACGCCGCTAAAAATTCTAACCAGTAAACTTTGACTGTATAAAACAACCAATAAGATGCATTGTTCGCACTTGGATTCGCATCCAATGTATAGGGGCACGCTCAATATATTTTTCCTAATAATAGTATAATAATTTTAACGGCAATACGATAATTTGAGGAGACCCCAATTTTTGCTTTGTCTCATTTGAGAAACGATAGACTATATACGTATCTATTTATTATTATCTAACTAATTTGTGAAATTATTTTTCTTCAGAAAAAATAGGTATTTTTTTTTAATTGGTTGTATATGTATCTATTTCTTATTAATTGACTAATTTATGTAATTATTTATCTTTAGGGAATACCAGATGAATACTGTTTGATTTCCCTTTTGGAATGTATTTTGATATTATAGTTTCAATAAATTGATTTGATTTGACGTACCTTGTTACTCTAGGTAAGGTAATTCATAATTTTATGTACGACCGGGCGGTAAATTCAACTTACCGCCCGCGTTTGCGGTAAGTTGAACTTACCGCCCGTCCCTTCCAGGAGATAAATCATCTAGAATTTTTTATTATATTCACCAAACAGCTATACCTAGATTCATATATTATTACCAAAATCGGTGTGGATAATCCTGAAAAATATAAAAGTTGCCGATTTTTAGAAAATTTGCAAATACAGAAGTTGCCAATTTTTCAGTGGAAACGGGCCTTTCTTTGAAGGGGAAGACTGTTTATTTTTGAAAAAAAAGTCAAATGGATGCCATTATATAGGTAGGTCTAGTTATTTTCTTTTTGAACTATGGAAGTGTCCGATGTGCATAAACAACGATAAAACGTGATAAGTATTTTGGGCGTCAAGTGTCGTTAACCACCCTCGAATTCGAATTCAAACACTCTCGGGCGGTAAATGACACTCACCGCCCTTAATACTTAAATAACTATAGGATATACTACTTACCAACTTAATAAATTGTAGTATGAACGCCAAATTGAAATTTGGTATACTATGTATCAGCCTATTCCTCTTTGACATGGCCGCATTAGTTGTGGCGTCCCCGTGCGACTGCTTAACAACTCCATTTTTCTGCTTGACACCGTTTTGCTTCCGAAAACTGTCAACTCCGTTCTGATTTTTGACTAGATTATTATTCAAACCGTCTTGTTTGTTGGGCTTGAAAATTAAATTCTCCACTAAAGGATAGCCGACTTTATAAGCGTACGTAGCTAGGGCCGCTCCTATTATAGCGCTAGATAAAATCGCTTGGTTTTTGTTGAAGACTTTCTCGCCCTTTTCTACGAATTTCGAGATTACAGAAGGCATTTTGTCGGATCTTTATTATCTATAAAGCTAAATGTGTTAATTATTGTGATGTGATTTTTGTTGGGCGTGTTGCAACAGGTACTGGTGTGATGATCGTCTTTAGATTCTTTTTTTGCATTTATCGAGTTTTTTTCTTATCTTGAACATTTTCATGCTTCCATTGAGTGTGGCTTCTTCATGGCAAATCTGCAAAAAAAGAAATGTTGATATATAATTAATTGAATAATTGGACTGATTTGTTTACAAAATATGTAAAAAGTTCTTAGGCACATTATTAGTTATGGACACCCTATACACGGCATCTTAGGATGAGAACCTGTAACGACAATCCGAGTTCAAGAAACCCACACGATTAGAACTGCTGCTATACATTTATAAGTACATAATATCAATCTATCATTTTGAGTGTAATTTCATTATTATAATATTTTTTTGTGGATCACAATCATTATAATCAAAGTTCAAGTGAATCAAATGGGATAATATTCAACTAAAACGATATTGGCCTAGTTTCACGGGACTGTTCAACTGATTTCTTCAACTTAATTTCATACTATACATTTCCCATAGTAAATTTAAATCATGGGAAACGTCGAATTTTGATTTAAATAAATGTAGGTATAAGTATGTATGCCTATTTTATTAAACGGTCATTAGATATGACGTGAACCCAAATTCAAAATTAATTTTGCAACATAACACTGCCCAATAATGTCTAATTATCCCAATTAAAAAACGTGCGGGTAATAATTTCCATATATGAATAATCCAATAATCGTTAGGAAATCATTCATTTATTAATTTATGATTTTATTTGTTTATTTAACATTGACATTTTTTTTAACAATAGTTATGTTAGAAATTCAAAATAGATAAAACAATTGAACAAAAACGATAAAAAGAGACTACTAAATCAATAAATTCTAGGACAAGTTAAATTTGGATCAAATTTTTGGCAAACTTACCGATTTTCACTGTTAATCTCAGAATCGCATTTTAATGTTCATTTCATTTGAAAAGCATTTAAAATTTTATTGTTTGCTCTGTAAATAATCTTTTTAGTATGAAGTTTGGTTTAACAAAACATTTCATCTTTTACGATTTCGCGAAATTGACTAAATAACACACACATTTTTAATGAATCATCGCCAATATTAGTCACGACCAATTTTCAGACTCAAAATACAAGGTCTATATTTTAAATGAATTATTTATTAGAAAATTGAGCATGGCTGTTTTAAAAATTTTAAGATTTGACATTCAATAGCTAATACTAACCTACGTCAAAATCCTCACACAGAATATGCACGTACACTTGTCCAATACCACCTTTAATTTATTAGTTAATCAATCGATATATTTGTTTTTTTTTTTCGAATTTATTCACGAACAAGGAAGTATTTGGCAAAATGCTAATAAGCCGACTAATTTACCAGTGACAAAATCTAATACTGAGAAAAACACTTTTATTTTTGTATTAGTTCATTATTATCTATTATCACTAACTTATCAGAAGCTGTCATAAATATTTATAAATTATGGGGCGAATATTATTTATCGCAGTTATTAATAAAATTATTTAAATTAATATCAGATACTTGAGAAAACACAAAGTCTTATCACTTTCACTGCACTTTGAGCAATGAGCCACTTTAATTTATTTAAAGTGAATCTTTTGTCATAAAATTTCGCAATAAGTAGTTGCGATTATCCCAGTTATCTTGAGAATGTTTTCTTTTGTGTAGAGCATTTTTATTGATCAACAGACATCGCGTTATAGGGAACAAAGGTCGAAATTGTAATGTCATCATTCAATTTCCGATGTTAGATAATCTAATTTGCAGTAGAAGTATGGGAGAATAATTATTGCCTCAAAGGTCGATTATTTTATTTACACCTTTTCAAAGATTTATTTGGAAAACTGCAAATTTGAGATATTAATCATCCATTAGTGTAGGTGGATTTCCTGAATGCTTCTGATGATGACTGTCAGCCTTCAATGAAGAAGTTGAAACAGATTTTCAAATCAAACGTCGTTCTGAGGAACTGCATAAAAACTCAGACGCCTTATCCAATATCCAGGGAATCATGCAAGCACTGCCACAGAATTTATCAGCCTCCGATTTGACATCAAACCACTTTTAAATCTACAGGAAAGCGACAAATCCAGACCAACGAAATTTCACATAAGAATTCTAAATTTCAAGGTGCTATGAGGTCAATAGGACTCAGTGTTAATCGAAAATGGTTAACTAATCAAAAATCGACAAATTAAAAAAAAAAAAAATAGGTATATAAGATAACATTTTATTATCAGAATTATAAAATTGAGTTCCGTCTCAAAGGTTGATGATATGTGCATGTGATGTTGACATCTAGTCTGTAAGGTTACTTATAAGGTATCCCGAATTCTGCCATTGTCTTCCAGATCTTAACTCTTTTTACCTATCATAGGCCGGTTGGAAATCTATAAACAGTTGGTGTATCTGCCTATTGAATTCAATTCAATTCAAATTATCCAATAACCATTAATGGTACAAAGAAAATATAAATATAAAATCAGAATCCAGTATAAAGTTTCACATATTTCAAAATTTAGCAACTAGGTGTGAACCCGTATGTTTCATTTGTTACATAAAAGAATATTAATTTTATCACAGCTAGGCTTTTGACTATTTCACTAAAATTTCAATAAAAACTAAAAACAGAAGGAAGAAGAAGAAGGAAGAATTCCCAGCCACACTGATAGTCTCGTATTATCTCCTCTATGAATGGGGTTATTCTCGACAGGAATATATTTGATAGAACTTTGTATGCTGCGTTTATGAGCGATATTCCCCTAAAATTTTTGCTTATCATTCTGTCTCCTTTTTTATGAAAGGGGATTAAGTATTATGATTTCTTTCCAGTCTTCTGGAATCTTCTCGTTTTTCCAGATTCTTATGAGTTCGTGTAGTTGGGATGTTGCTGTGTTTCCGGCATGTTCCTAGAGTTCGGCGGTTACCCGGAGACTTATTGTTTTTCAACTTTTTTTATTGCTTTCTCAATTTCCATTTGAGAGGGGTATTCTGCAGTTTCGAAGCTGGCCGGTTCTTCGTTGTTTGTATAACCCTGGTTACGTAGATGTTCAAAGTAATCTTTTCATGTTTGCAGCGTTTGATCTCGCCTGGTTACTAGATGTCCGTTATCGTCCTTGATGGATGATGTTGTTGGTTCTGAGTCTAAAGCCATTCTTTCTTATTCTTATTGTCTTACAGAATTTCCTGGTATCCTGCCTTTCATCGACTTCCAGCTCCCAGCTCCTGCAGCTTCTTCAGTGCCGACTATGAAAAAATCAATAGTTTTCTGGCTGAGCAAATTTTGCCGCATCGGATCGGGTGATGCTTTCCACACGTGCATGTCAATTTTAAACAATGCCATAGACAAGTTGATTCCGTTAAAACCATGTAAAACAAACCCACAGAAAACGTGGCTTAACCAGTTCATATTTACAATTAAAAAAGAAACGAGGTCTATCGGACAAATACAAAAAATATCGCGAACAAAACAACAGCCTTATGCCGATTTTCCACCAAACGGACTGTTGAGTTTGTGTTTTAAAACATGTTTTAAAACTTCAAATTAACCCGAAAAACAAAACTCCACTTGTCGCAAAACACGCTAATCTTGAAAATGTTTGGGAAAAGTTAAGAGTTTTGTCGGAGTTTAGGTTTTGTTTTTGTTTTGTCGGTTTGGTGGAAAACCGGCATTACAAATGTAATGAGAAAGTCAAGAAAAGACTATGAATGCAACATTGCTTCTCAGAGTTTGAATAAAACATTTTTTAAGTTTGTGAATAAAACACTATCATCCAAAGTTTCAACAATAACATTAAAGAATGAATCAGATGAACTTTTGACTGACGACTTTGATGTAGCGGAATGCTTTGCAAATCAAATGAAAAGGTATTAATGTAATGTAATGTAAAGAATGCAACCAATTTCAAACGAGGAAGAAAAAAATCCTATCCCGTATTGGAAAACTGAGAAAAGACCTCCCACCCTTAAAAAAGTCACTAAACCCTCTCTAAAACTCAGCGAAACTATGAAGGAAAAGAAGGAAGCACTCTACACGAAACATAAAATAAAAAATGAACATGATGAGGCAAAAGTGACTGAAAAGCTAAAGCAGCTAGAATGAAGAGATACATTGAAAGATCCGCACAATACAATTATAATAAGCAATTCACAGAGAATGCTGACAGATTCAACAATACCTCACTTACCAAGAATAATAATATAACAAAAGATATGCCACACCCGAAAGAAATCGAAGAATATTGGAAAAACTTATGGGAAGCAGTTGTAACGCACAATAGCGAAACAGAATGGATCCAACAGACATACAATGAAACAGCTCATGTATAAAACAGATGACAAGAAATATCTACAGGAGAAATCAAAATAGCCGCCCTTAGACAACACTGGAAATTGGAAAGCTCCAGGCTTCGATGGAATATCAAATTTTTGGTTGAACAAGTTAGTAGCGACACTCGGAAATCTTAAAACAGCCTATAACGATTTAATGAATGAAACACAAAATATACCACACTGGCTGTCAAAAAGGAAAACCTATTTAATACCCAAGAACGAGAATACAAACGAACCAAGTAACTACAGACCCATTACCTGTCTGAATAACACTTACAAAGCCCTAACTCAGATAATAGCTGAAAGACTCTACACACACTTCTCAGAAAAATGCATTCGATAAAATTCCACATAGTTGGCAAATAGAAACATTGAACATACATAGAACATCACCAAAATTGCAAAATTTCATCACCAAGTCCATGAACAACTCGGCCTTAATGTTTTCCTGTGCTCCTTACTCCTTGGCAACATCCGCGTGAGGAGTTGCCAAACTTCTAGCTGCTCTCTTTGTTTTTTTTTTTATAAAGCAGACCTAATCTTTGTTCAAATGGTTCATATTTCATCAAGGGGCAAACCACCTAGGAATTCTTTGCCAAAAATGTGAGGAATTTAGAGGAATTTGTTGAAGGAACTCATCGGAATTTATGAGAATTTGGGGAATTTATAGGGAATTTGGAGAAATTTATGGGGAATTTGGAGGAATTTAAAGGAAATTGTAGTCATGACGTCACTGAGGTTTACATTCTTATTATAAGAAACACTAATGAATGGAAA